GCAGCAACGGCACCAATGAAAGTGATGACGCTGCTGATGGACATACCAATGACAATGGCAGTTGTACCAATGCCGTTAACAATACCTACTATATTAATAGTCTCAATAATGTTGTTAATTCCCTCAATGATTTAAATGCTACCACAAGTAATCCTAGTTCTGTCCTCAGAACGAATACTTCTTATTCTATTTTGGCTAGCGGACGGAATGCTAGTCACCCTAATAAGCTGATTGAGCTCCCCCCTATTTCCACTGCTGCTGGGGATTTTATCAACAATACTAGTGAGCAGTATCTTCCCTGCAACTACTATGTTTGGATGGAGCCGCCGCCTGTCATTCACTCTGGCTCATCTTTTGGTGTGTCGGATCAAGATCAAGTCACTTGCCAGGCTCAAGCAGAACCATTAACAGTGGGTTATGTAACGTTGGCTCATTCGCTCCAACATCTATCAACAGGAGTCGACGTGTCTGGTCAGTGAAAACCTATTTTGAGGATCTTAGAAATATATTACAATATGGATACTTGTCTTTCAAATACATTTCAGTCAAATTTTCTATTAAGTTCTATTCGTTCGTAAATACATCGTATTGACATCATTACAGAATTATTACGCCAAGCGAGAGAATTGTCTATTACTTCGTAAATTGAAATTACCTTAGCTTCTCTAAGCTTGGAGATAAAATCTATAATTGGGATTAAACGATAAGAGTCATTTTGATAGCTAACTGCAAAGCAGAATCTGCCATTTGTCCTCTACACATCTTTGAATTCAAACTCTTATTCATCCAACTTGTTTCTAATATTTGCACATTTGTTGGTCCTTTACAGACACGGGCAGATGAAATATCCTTTTCATGCCTTTCATCTACGTTTAGTGATCTACAGACTTGCAAAAAAGTGAATATTTTGATTGGAAGGCTATAATTTTTATGAATATATTTAATTATCATCAATTTTTGAGTAATAATAAAAAGTTCCCATTTCTACCTATTTTTGCCTACATGAGCTTCTCTAATTACTTTAAAACTTTTGTGGACAAATTTTTCTAATCCATAAATTCTAGGATTTATTTTTTATTATTTTCCCTGCCTTTTGGAAGAGAGGTTATTCATAGATGCATTTACGTCTATTTTTATCATGATAGAACTTGAACTTTTAAGTTTACCCTCTAAACACTATTAATATGCCAAGTCGATTACTTTTGCTCTTCTCCTCATTGCTTATTGTACGAGCTCATCTTCATGTAAATTTGGCTCCATTACCTGCCGTCTTATTATTTCTTCACTTTATAATTTTAAAAATTGCTTTATCTTGATCATTGTCCTTCATCATAATTAATTTTAGATTGGCATAATTTAAATCCTCCATTGTATTAGTTTTCAATCGTAACTTTTACCTCATATGAATTCATTTGTACGTTGATTTATTGTATTTCTCCCCATAACAAATGTTCCTAAAGATCTTGAGTAAATTTCCTACTGGTTTGGCTTAAATCAAAATTCATTTTATCGATCTTTCCTTCTTATCGTTTGACGACGCTAATCTCTTCATTTGCTAGAGGCATCTCCAACATATATGTATTAGTTAATTATTTTAATGAGTTGCGTTCTTCATATTTAGGGAGATTTTCCACAATCATTTTTATGCCATAGCTCACATCTTATTTAAACATAAACTTCACATAAGTTGAGTAGCCTGATGGGTCCTTGGTGAGAATTTTACCATACTTTATTTAATCCGGATATTTTATTCAATCAGAATTCCCAAGTATTCACGAACTTATTGCATAGCAAGTCATATTGCTTATTTATATATTCAAATTACGTTTAATGCAGACAATGCTACTGATTAATTGGTTTATGAGTAATCCTAACTTTGGCTCGTTCTAGTCATAATCTCACTCAGTTCCCCCAAATTACTCTTTAGTTTAACTACTTTATACTTAACTTTCACTTGAAAATAATTTACTTTTGCAAAGCTTTTTAAGCTCTGTTGAGTACACGAAAAGATTAGTTTACATGGTCAGACTTTTCCTACTGGTATTAATGTAAATTAAACAGGAGTACTTTTGCTAGGATTCAATTTTCCATTTTATCATAAAAGGCTTATATCTATGTTGTTGCCTGATATTTAACCACTGATA